CCACCTGGGCAGGCGAGATCTCATCTCTACAATAAAATCAAAAAATTAGCCGAGCGTGGTAGCACGCGCCTGTAATTCTGGCTACTTGGAAGGCTGAGGCGGAAGGATCGCCGGAGCCCAGCAAGTCGAGGCTGCGGTGGCTGGGAGCGGCCACTGCACTCCAGTCTGGGTGACAGAGTGAGACTCCAACTCAAAAAAAAAAAAAAGGTACTTTAGGATTGATCTTGTACAGGATGGATTGGAGGAAAAAAGACATATTAGAAGAAGGGAAAAGAGGAAGGAGGAGACTTGCAGTCATCTATGTTTAAAGTGATAATGTTCTGATTCAGGATTGTGTTAGTGGGAATGACAAGAAGGACTGGACTCAGTAAACAATTCTACGAATTACTAGGACTTGGTAACTAAGTTAAGGCAGGAGAAGTCGTCAAACTTAGTCTCTAGTTTTTAGCTTTAGTGAATTGAAAATGGTGGTATCATTGACAGAAATCAAGGGAGCTGCCATCGAGAGAGAAGCAGCTTTTTTTCTTTTATACACATTAAATTTGTAATGAATGTGTGCAGGGTTGGTATTAGACATACTGTAAAGTCTAGCATGTATTTGGATGTCATTGTAGCTCAGCAGTGGAGCCAGAAGAGCTGCAAATCTGAGAGTAGTGCACATAGGCCGTGATCATTGACCCATGGGAATGGGTGACATTGGAGGGAAGGAAAAGAGACAAGTGGTAAGAACTGAGCTCCACATTTTTGGCTCTATTACATCTGATAAAAAAATGGGAAAGAAGCGGGATTCCTGCCCATAGTGGAATCATTGGATGAATTCTGGAATACCTTGCAGCTGCTTGGGATGCCAGAGCAGCTATGTAAAATATTGAGGCAGATCTATATTACTGACTTGGAAAAGTGCCCGTGATTTAAAGTAAGTTAGTGAATGATATGTAACATGATTCCTCGATTGTCATTCTTTTAAAACTCCTTCTTAGGTTTGGGGAGTCTGTGTGAGGAGCAGCCCTGTTCCCTGTTCAGAAACCTTGGTGATGGAGTCCCTGCTCTCCCCCTCCTCCTGCTGCTAGAGCAGGGGAGCCTTGACTGACTCAGCCAGTGGGCGGCTTCCCCTTGGTTCTGAGTCTTCAGTGGTTGCCACCAAGTGAAGGGACAGTAAAGTGGTGTTCTCAGCAATGGATGAGTCCTTCAATGGTGGCAGCAGTGTTTTACTGGTTTATTCTTCCCAGCCTTACTTGGTTTCTGCTTGCTTTCTGAACCTGAATCTTTTTAAACATTTTTCCCAGTTTTTGTTTATTGTGGTAAAATACATCAACATAAAGGCTGCTATCTTTAATTTTTTTTTTTTTGGATAGGATCTTGGTCTTTTGCCCAGGCTGGAGTGCAGTGGTGTAATCATAGCTCACTGCTGTCTCAAACTCCTGGGCTCAAGAGATCCTTCTGCTTCAGCCTTCCAAGCAGCTAGAACTACAGGCATGTGCCACCATGCCCAGCTAATTTTTAAATTTTTTGTAGAGACAGAATCTCATTGTTTTGCCCAGGCTGATTTCAAACTCCTGGTCTCAAGCCAACCTCTCGTCCTGGCCTCCCGAATTGCTGGGATTACAGGCATAAACCACTGCACCCGGCTCCATCTTAACCAGTTTTTTTTTTTTTTTTGAGTTGGACTCTCACTCTGTCACCCAGACTGGAGTGCAGTGGCTGCTCTTGGCCTCGAACTGCTGTGCTCCGGCGATCCTTCCGCCTCAGCCTTCCAAGTAGCTAGAACTACAGGCGCGCTCTACCACGCCTGATTCATTTGTGATTTATTGTAGAGATGAGGTCTCGCCAAGTTGCCTGGGCGGGTCACGAACCCGCAGGCTCAGGCAATCCACTCACCTCAGCCTCCCAAAACGCTGGGATTACAGGCTGAGCCACTGAGCCCGGCTTAACCAATTTTAAGTTCAGTGGTGTTAACTACATTCATAATATGCAGCCATCATCACCATCCATCTCCATGATTCTTTTCATCTTTTTTTAATTTTTTTTGAATTGGACTCTCACTCTGTCACCCAGACTGGAGTGCAGTGGCTGCTCTTGGCCTCGACCTGCTGGGCTCTGGCGATCCTTCCGCCTCAGCCTTCCAAGTAGCCGGAACTACGGGCATGCGCTACCATGCCTGGCTGATTTTTTGATTTTTATTGTAGAGATGAGGTCTCGCCTGCCCAGGCGGGTCTCGAATCCGCGGGCTCAGGCAATCCACTCACCTCAGCCTCCCAAAGGCGCGGGATCACAGGCTGAGCCACCAAGCCCGCCTCTTTTCATCTTTTAAAACTGAAACTCTAACCTGCTAACAGTAATGCCCTATTCCCTTCTCCAGTCCTAAGTAATCACCATTCTACTTTCTTTTTCTCAGCCTGGTTCTTGAGCCTTCTTTTTTTATTTTGTTTAAGTTAGGCAGAGTGGCTTCTTTTGCTAGTACCCAAGAACTCTGACTCATTCCCCATTTTTTGTTTAAAAGAAAACCATGACACACACAATCCTATGTTTTTGTAGATTTCTTTAACATTTTCAAAGGCCACACACCAAATTGTTTGCAGTGCTTTTATGGGGGCTTTGAGATGGGGGAGAAGGGAGGGACTAAGGAGGGTTGGATGTGGGGGTAGCAGTTTTGCTTTAGATACTTCTGGTTGGTTTGAGTTTCATTGCAATGAGCATGTACTTTAGTGACTCAAATGCCTGGAAAAAAATATTCAGGGTGAAAAATGGAAAAAATTACTTGCCTTATCTTAACTTTTCATTGTAAGGATGTTGTAAAGATCAGATGCAATAGGGAATGCAAAAATGTTCTGAAAATTATCTGAATGTGAAGTAGAAATGGTGATTTTTAAGTCTCTTAAGTGGTGATTTTTCAGTAGAGAGGTAAAAGCCACTTTTTGGAGAGTTAAGAAAATAAGTACTAATAAAGTCAGATGTGAATATCAGGTATTCATTGATTTGGCAATGAAAGGATGAATAGAAATTAGATGATAAAGGAGACTTTTCTCAACATTTTAACTGGGAAATTTTCTAACTTAAAGTTGAAAGGCCAGGTGCGGTGGTTCACATGTGTAATCCCAGCCCTTTGGGGAGGCCAAGACAAGAGGATTGCTTGAGCCTAAGAGTTCAACACCAACTTGGGCAATACCGCAAGACCTTGTCTCTACAAAAAGTCAAAAAATTATCAGGCATGGTGAACATCTGTAGTCCCAGCATCTCAGGAGGCTTAGGTGGAAGAATCGCCTATGCCCAGAAGGTTGAGGCTGCAATGAACCATGATTGTGCCACTGCACTCAAGCCTGGGTAGCAGAGTGAGACCCTGACGCTAAATAAGCAAAAGTTGAGAGTACCATAAATACCAGCATAACCTCATTCTGGATTCAACAGTTATTAACATTTTGCTACATTTGTTTTGTCTCTGTTTATCTATATAAAAGTTGTTGTTTTGTAAAGTCATTTGAAAGCAAGTTGTAGGCATCATGACATTTTCTTCAAATACTTCAACATGTGTATTTTAACAATAAGGTCATTCTCCTGTATAACCATAATACCATGTTCACACTTAAGAAAAGTAATAACTTCATGGTGTCTTCCAATATCTATTTCATATTCTAATTTTCCCAGTTTATTTTTTTTTTTTTGGAGTCTCACTCTGTCGCCCAGACTGGAGTGCAGTGGCTGCTCCCGGCCACCGCAGTCTTGACCTGCTGGGCTCCAGCAATCCTTCCGCCTCAGCCTTCCAAGTAGCTGGAACTACAGGCATGCGCTACCACACCCTGCTGATTTTTTTGATTTATTGTAGAGATGAGGTCTCGCCAAGTTGCCCAGGCGGGTCTCGAACCCACGGGCTCAGGCAATCCACTCACCTCAGCCTCCCAAAGGCATGGGATTACAGGCTGAGCCACCGAGCCCAGCCGGCTTTTTTTTTTTCTTAGAGACAGGGTCTTACTCTGTCACCCAGACTAGACTGCAGTGTAGCCTTGAACTCCAGGGCTCAAGTGAGCAATCCTTTCACCTCAGCCTTCCAAGGAGAAAGGAATACAGGTGTGTGCCACCATACCTGGCTAATTTTTTTATTTTTGGTATAGACAGAGTCTTGGTATGTTGCCTAAGCTGGTCTCAAACTCCTGGCATCAAGCAATCTTCCAGCCTTGACTGCCCAGGATTACAGGTGCCATTGCACTGGGCCAGATTTCCCCAATTCTAAAAGTACTTTCTTTTGGTAGATGATTTTATTTCCTCAGGTCAAGATCCAAGGTTTCTACATTGCGTTTTCTTGTTATGGCTCAGTGGTCTTTTAACTTACAACACCTCTCCTTTCCTTTTATTCCTCTATAATATTGACCTGTGAAAGGATAAAGCCAGTTGTCTTATAAAGTGGCCTGTATTCTGGATTTATCTGATATAACTTTCCTTCTTTTTTTTTTTTTTTTTTTTTTGGAGTTGGGGTCTCAGTCTTGTCACCCAGGCTGGAGTGCAGTGCCACGCTCACAGCCACTGCAGCCTCGATCTGCTGGACTCAGTCGATCCTTCCACCTTAGCCTTCCAAGTAGGTGGAACTACAGATGCACACCACCACGCCTGGCTAATTTTTGTGGCTTATTGTAGAGACGAGGGTCCACCAAGTTGCCCAGGCTGTTCTTGAACCCCTGGGGTTCGGGCAATCCTCTTGCCTTGGCCTCCCAAAATGCTGGGATTACAGGCTGAGCCACCGTGGCTGGCCTAACTTTCCTTCTTAATCATTTCAGATAACCTTTATCGGAAGGATGGAATTGGGAAAAGGAAAGCTGCTCAGAACTGGACTGAATGTATTGGATCAAGCAATCCACCCAGTCCATGGGCTTGCCTGGACGGATGGGAATCATGTAGTCCTAACTGATTTACAGCTTCACAGTGGAGAAGCCAAATTTGGGGACTCCAGGGTCATTGGACAGTTTGAATACGTCTGTAGGCTGTCATGGGCCACACCTGTTACAGCTGACACACCCATTCTGCTCGCTGTCCAGCACGAGAAGCATGTCACTGTGTGGCAGCTGTGTCCCAGTCCTATGGAGACAAGCAAATGGCTGATGTCTCAGACCTGTGAAATTAGTGAATCACTGCCTGTCCTTCCTCAGGGCTGTGTGTGGCACCCAAAGAGTGCTATCCTGACTGTGTTGACTGCACAGGATGTCTCTGTTTTCCCTTACGTTCACTGTGACAACTCCCGGGTAAAAGCAGACATCGCAACCCAGGGTCGCATTCACTGTGCATGCTGGACCCAAGATGGCCAGAGGCTGGTGGTGGCAGTAGGCAGCAGCCTGCATTCTTATATTTGGGACAGTGCTCAGAAGATTCTTTACAGGTGTTTCTTCTGCCCAGTGTTTGATGTGGGCAGCTACATCTGCTCCATCAGAGCAACTATGGACTCACAGGTTGCCATAGCTACTGAGCTTCCGCTAGCTAAACTCTGTGGCTTAAATGCATCTGAAGTCTTTGTTGTCACACCCAATGTTGAAGACACTTCTCTGAATACTTTACCAGTCCCTACTGAAGTGTCCTCTGTGGGTGTAGAGGCGATGGATTCTGAAACAAGTTCTGAAATATCAGTTTCTTCCTCCTACTTAGATCCTCTGGATCTAACTCATATACATTTCAATCATCATAGGTCTGAGGGTGATTCTCTAACTTGTCTAAGAAAAAAGGACTACTTGACAGGAACTGGCCGAGATTCTTCACATTTGTTCCTCGTGACCTTTAAGAAGGAGGTTACTATGACAAGAAAAGTCACCATTCCAGGTCTGCTGGTTCCTGATCTAATAGCATTTAATCACAAAGCACAGGTAGTGGCAGTGGCTTCCAATACTTGTAATATAATTTTTGTCTATTCTGTCATTCCATCTTCTGTGCCAAACATCCAGAAAATTCAGTTAGAGAATACCGAAAGACCCAAAGGCATATGCTTTTTGACAGACAAATTATTACTGATTTTGGTAGGAAAACAAAAATGTACTGATACGACATTTATTCCTTCTTCAAAGTCTGATCAGTATGTAATTCGTGTGATTGTTAGGGAAGTAATGTTGGAAGAAGAATCCTCAGTAACTTCAAACGAAAGCCAGAGCACCTACTCTACTTTCAGTGCTCTGTTAAGTAAAGCAAATGGAGACAAGTTAATTGAAAGTCTTTCCCCTGGTTTTGGTCACCAAAACAGAGGGCTCTTGTTATCAGCTAATACCAGTAGTCATAATGGAAGGCCTGGAAGAATCCTTATTAAAGAAATCCAGAGTCCTTTGTCTAGTATCTATGAGGGCTCCATAGCCCCAGAAACACCGATTGCTGCACCTGCTGACCGGTCAGCATCAGTGCCCAGACACAGTAGCACACCGGACCACACCAGCACACCGAGGCCTCCTGATTTGCCTCAAGGAAAGAACTTACAAAGGAGAAAGAACACTTATCTGCTATCTGAGGAAGTGGAAATTTTATCTAGGAACATGAGTGAGATGCAGCGGTGTGTTTCTCAACTCAAAGACTTTCTACATAACGGGAAGAAGTCCTCTTCAGGGTATCCACTCTCTCAGGATCCCCCTTATGTTCACGTCATTTACCAGGTAACTTCTTTGAGGAGTCACCACTATACATAAAAGCTCCTGCAGCCAGTGGGCACTGCGGGAAGCGTGTATTGGTGAGGAAGATGGTGTCCTAACTGAGCCTCATTCACTGAACTGGCGTGTTCTGTTATAGGCAAGTTGGTGTACCTTTGCAGGTTGGTTGGTTGTTAACCATACATCTTGCTTTTATCATGTGCATGATTTGAACAAATGAATGACTGCACTCATTCTGGTAATTTAAATTTAGGAAAAAAATGTTTTAATCATGCGATTGTGTTGTGAAAACCTTTTCCTTATGTAATAGAGATGTTTTTCCAGTTATCAAAAAGATCGTGTTCATTTAAAATGTTCTGATACATTTCTTTCCTTTCTTTTCTTTTTTTAAGAGACAGGGTCTTGCTCTGTTGCCCAAGTTGGAGTGCAGTAGTGCAATCACATCTCACTGCAGCCTTGAACACCTGTGCTCAAATGATTTCCTGCCTCAGCCCCCTGAGTAGCTGGGACTATGGGCATGTACACACCTGGCTAGTTTTTTGTTTTGTTTTTTAATTGTAGGGATAAGGTCTTGCCACGTTGCCCAGGCTTGTCTCAAACCCCTGGACTCAGGCAATCCTCTCGCCTTAGTCTCCCAAAGTGCTGGGATTACAGGTGTGAGCCACCATGCCAAGCTTCTTTCTTTATTTTTTGGTCTTGCTCGGCCTCCATCTGTGACTTTTTAAAGAATTTGAATAGGTAATTCATTTACTTGGTTAAAGAAGCAAAACAGTTTTTGTTTTGTTTTTTTTTTGGTGAGTCAGAGTCTCACTCTGTCACCCAGGCTGGAGCGCAGTGGCACGCTTACGGCCACCGCAGCCTTGACCTGCTGGGCTTCAGCAATCCTTCTGCCTCAGCCTTCCAGGTGGCCGGAACTACAGACACGTGCTAACACTCCCAGCTAATTTTTTGATTTATTGTAGAGACGAGGTCTTGCCAAGTTGCTTGGGCTGGTGTCGAACCCACAGGCTCTAAAATCCTCTCGCCTCGATCTCCCAAAATGTTGGGATTACAAGCTTGAGCCACCGCACCTGGCCGCAAAACAGAATTTTGACAAGATGGTCTCTACTAAGAAGTCTCACCCCACCTCATTCTTCTCAACCTCCCTGTTCCCCTTTCCTCCTTTAGATAACCCCCTTTATTTTTATTTCTCTATGCAGAGAACTATATACAGTGTTCTGCACCTTTCCTTTTCCAAGTAATAATATAGCCTTGGAGGGCTCTTCATGTCAGCACACAGAACTCATTTGCATTTTATTTTTTACAGCTGCATAGTATTTCCTTTCCTAATTACTAAAGAAATTGAGGGAAAAAATTAACAGTACAGAAATATTGAATGTTGAAAGTAAAAATTCTCCATAATCCTACCATTTGAGAAAGCCACAGATATAGTTCATGTTTTATTAGATAATAGATATAAATATTTCCATAATTTTTCTCTGCATTTACTAAAACCGTATCTAATCCAAAAGACATAATACCTAATTATTTATTTTTCTTTGGTTTTTTTTTTTTTTTGAGTTGAAGTCTCATTCTATTGCCCTGGCTGGAGTGTAGTAGCATGCTCACGGCCACTGCAGCCTCGACCTCAGGTGATCCTTCTGCCTCAGTCTTCCAAGCTGGAACTACAGGCGTGTGCTACCACACACGGCTAATTTTTTGATGTATTGTAGAGTTGAAGTCTCACCAAGTTGCCCAGGCTGGTCTCAAACTCCTGAGCTCAGGCAATCCTCTCGCCTTGGCCTCCCAAAGTGCTGGGATTACAGGCTTGAACCAATGCACTTGGCCTTAGATTATTTTGTCAATAATTTATCTTATTTTTAAAACATTTGTAATATGAAATCTGCCTTTTTTTAAGAGCTAAAGTTAAAATAAATGGGGTTTTTTTTGCCTTTTTTAATTCCTTAGTTTCATATTTGAAGTAATCCAGCCAAGCTATTGTTGTCACTGGTTACCTCTAGAGGGTAGAATTTTGGGGACTTTCTGCATTATAAATTTCTGCTTTACTTTTTTCATATTGATTTTATATTCCTTTTATAATTTGAAAAGTAAAAGTTAAAAACAACATAATTAAAAGCAAGGAAGCCGGACTCGGTGGCTCAGCCTGTAATCCCAGCACTTTGGGAGGCTGAGGTGAGATTGTCTGAGCCTGTGGGTTCGAGATCTGCCTGGGCAACTTGGTGAGACCTCATCTCTACAATAAATCAAAAAAATTAGCCGGGTGTGGTAGCACACGCCTGTAGTTCCGCCTACTTGGAAGGCTGAGGCAGAAGGATCGCTGGAGCCCAGCAGGTTGAGGCTGCGGTGGCCAGGAGCGGCCACTGCACTCCAGTCTGGGTGACAGAGTGAGACTCCAACTCAAAAAAAAAAAAAAAAAAAAAAAAAAGCAAGGAACAGTTTCCTCTATAATTTCAGAAGTTACATTTCATAAGCGTTAGATGATTTGTTTATGACTTTTACAGTTTATTTCTATGACTTCATTTTGAAGTGCTATTAGTAGACATATTCTTTGAGTGGCTTATCCTGCCACAGACAGTATAATTTCTCTTTTAGCCAGGCACAATGGCTCACACCTGTAATCTCAGTGCTTTGGGAGGCTGAGGTGGCAGGATCGTGTGAGGCTAGGTGTCCGAGACCAACCTGTTAATGGGGCCCTGTTTCTACAAAAAAAAAAACCAAACACGTTGGGCATGGTAGTATAGTAGTGCCTACCAATGGTCAGTCCTAGCTACTTGGGAAGCTGAGGTGGGAGGATCCCTTGAGCCCAGGAGTTTTAGATTACAGTGAGCTATGATCATGCCACTGCACTCCAGTCTGTACAACAGAGCGAGACCCAGTCTCTCAAAAAAAAAAAAATCTTTTATAGTTGAAATTATATTTCTCAGTATTCAGAAACTGAGTCAGTGAATTGTGATAATTTTAGCAACAAAATAAATTAGACACTTATAAAAGTGTTCTTTAAATGCTTACATGTAGATATTGTTTCACATACTATATAATTAGAAGTAATATTTTAATTCTGTAGTCTATGATTATACCTTTGGGCTCTTAATGTATCTTAAACTAGAGCTATAATTTTTAATATTTTCTTTAGTTATATTTGAAACCATTTCTAAAGATGGTTTAATTCTTAATAATTTTAAAATGTACAAATCACTTATTTTCATTTGTGCTTTTTCTAAGCTGAGTGAATTTTTACAACAGTTTGTTTATTTTACTTATGTAAATCTTCTGCCTCTCTACCACTTAGGGTATTCTTTCTGGGCTTTTTTTTTTCCCTCATACTCCTGACCTCAGCGATCCTCCTACCTTAGCCATCCTCCCACCTCAGCCTCCCAAGTAACTGGGATTACAGGCATGAGCCACTGTACCTAGCTAAGCATTTTTTTCTAATAAGAAAGCATGAAGTGTCTTAGCTATATCTAAAAGAGCCAAGTTGTTGTTCCGCATCATCAGATTGTGTCTCTCATACTGCTGTTCATCATCCTATAGTGTTACTAGTTGTATCCTAGGAAAGCCCTTTCCTAGTAAAGACTTAACCTTAGGGAGATATTAGCAAAAGAAAAGTAAATTAGTGCTAGTGTTTTGCTCTGATCCTTTAGTTGTATCAAATAATGCAAAGAGCTGCTTATTTATTTTTGTTTTTAATTTTTTGGAGACAAGGTCTCACCAAATTGCCCAGGCCGGTCTCGAACCCCTAGACTCAGGCAATCCTCTCGCCTTGACCACCCAAAGTGCTGGGATTACAGGCTTGAGCCACTGCGCCCAGACAAAGAACTTCTTATTTAAAACTGAAGTCAAGGCCTGGTGTAGTGGCTCATGTCTGCAGCCCCTGTACTTTGGGAGACTGAGTTTAGAGGATTGCTTGAGGCCAGGAGTTCCAGATCAGCCTGGGCAACACAGCAAGACCCTGTCTCTACATTAAAAAAACAAAAACAACAAAACTGAAATCCAGTTGATTGTGGTAATAGATGAGGATTTTTTGAAACTATTTATTCTTAAGAAGTTTTAACTCCATTGTTTCTGCAGATTGTTTAACAATTTTTATTTTTTATTTGAAGAAACCTTGTTATGAAGGTCTTGTTATTGAAAAAAGAGCGATCCTTCTCTGTGATGGCAAACTAAGGCTCAGTACAGTTCAGCAGGTGTTTGGCATCTCTCTCATTGAAATGCTGCATGGTAAGTTACATTCAGAAACTGACCCTATCCAGCATCCCAGCCACCATCTATTTTAACTTCCATTAGTAAGAAAATGATGGGGTACCAACCAGTCATTGATTCACTGGGTACTTACGAAGTATTGTTGCCGGCGTGGTGGCTCACGCCTGTAATCCCAGCACTTTTAAGAGGTGGAGACGAGGATTGCCTGAGCCCAGGGGTTCGAGACCAGCCTGGGCAACTTGGCCAGACCCAGTCTCTACAATCAATAAAAAAAAAATTAGCTGGGTGTGGTAGCACACGCCTGTGGTTCCAGCTACATGGAAGGTTGAGACAGAAGGCCCTTCCAGTTCCCCACTGTCTGTAAAAATCTTACGAGGATTGAGTTCGATAACATCGACTGCTATGTTCCCTCACTCGAAAACAGAAGTTTGTAGTCGTTTTTTGTTTGTTTGTTTTTTTGAGTTGGAGTCTTACTCTGTCGCCCAGACTGGAGTGCGGTGGCCGCTCCCGGCCACTGCAGCCTCGACCTGCT